GGTAATTTTTTTACTATACTAACAAAAATACGGTCTTTAACAGCATATTTTTTTTTACTTAAAAAAATTACCCTAAAAGTTATTTTTCGAACGTTTTTTATTATTAACAGCATATTTTTTATTTACTTAAAAAAATTAAATATTTATATAGTTTGTTTTATACTTAAACCGAGAATCATTGCTAATGTAGCTATAGATCCTAATTAAAGTAAAAAAATAAATTTTACACATTCTTAAAAACTTTAAAAACTTTTAAAAGGCATTTTTTAATGAAATGAAATTGTTTTTAGCCAAAATTTGACAATGTTTAAAATTCAAAATGCTGTAAGACGAACAATTTTTGTCCGATTTTAATAAAATTTAAATGCCGTAGCTTCACGTATCTACATTGGTTTAAAATTTCAACGAAATTAAATTAAAATTGACAAAATGGCATCAAAAACAACCGCGCGTTTTAAAATTTATATTTACTGTCATTTTTGGCTCACGCTAGTAAAACTTAAAAAAAAATTGTGAACAAAATTAATTGATAAATGCCCTAGTGAATAACTAGTAGTGATTAGCGTTTTTAAGGGTCAAAACAAAAAATAGACATTAAATAAAAAAAATTTGTTCGGGAAAAATTGATTTTTACTTTAATAAAAGGATCCTTTTTATGTTATTTATGGATAAATGGTTTATTTTTTCTTAGTATTGTCCTTTACTACTTTTATAAAACAAGGGCTAATTAAACAAGATAATTTTCATTTTTTAGAATCAGCGCACCCAAATTACCCTATAAAAGTTGTAGGCCACCTTTTCGCAAAATTACTTTCGACCAATATTATTGGTAACAGTGTCTAAAACATGGTTCAGACTTTTTCTTTGGTCTAGAAGCATTAGGGTATTTCAAAAAAATCGATATAAAAATTCAGATCAAATCCCAACTTTTAATTTAAATTCCCTTATTAAGTTTAAAAATTCCCCATACAGGAAAATGATTAGTTTACCTACAATAATTGACTATTGAAAATTTTAAAAATTTTCATTATCCTTATCGTTTTTTGCTCTCTTGATACATACATAGTAAAAAATATTTGTTAATTTTAACCAAATATTAACCAGGTTTTTTTGTTAATGCAGGTTCACATAGCTTTATGTTGAGTTTATAACCAACTGCAATCTGTTAACTAATTGAATTTATAAGTAGTTTGTAATTATAATTAACAATTTGTAGATTTAATAACAAAATCCTTTATCAATATTTCAACCATAATTCTTGTAATTTTCAAAAAGTACCTTAAAATTTTTTTGGACCCAGTAACTAAAATATTTGTTGGAAATTGGGAACTTAAATGAAAAGAATTTTAATAAGAAATGTTGCTTTATTAATCAATTTCCTAAACAAAAAAATTAACAAATACCTACAATGTAGGTCCTACATAAATGAACACAAAAATAACATACACACAATTAAATAACACCCCATTCTGAAATCATTATGAAGAAATTTGGTACAATATTAATTATCAGTACGGCCATTCCACGCGTAACGAATGGGACAGTTCCAAGTTTTTATTTTCAAAATAATATTGTTCTATTTTATTACTTATGTCAAATTTTTATAAATAGTTCTAAACAAAAGTTGTTTAACAAGGTTTTTATTTATTTGGCAAAATTAGGTACCGTGATTGTCTTTTTAATTCCTTAAAAATTATTATTTTTTATTCAAAAACAGTACTAGCGGGGTTTTTGAATTAAAAAATTAATTTTTAAGGAATCCGCGATACCTCATTTTGCCAAATAAAATCCTTGTTAAACAGCTTTTGTTTAGAACTATTTATAAAAATTTGACATTAGTAATATAATAGAACAATGTTATTTTGTAAATAAAAACATTATTATTTTTTCTGACTTCCACCTTGCTATTACTTCTTTAAAAGAAGTTTCCTGTGATATTTTTATATGAAATATTTAAACTCGTTAAGAAACCTCTTGAAATAAACTTGTGACCCACAACGTTGCTTAAACTCAAACGTCTAAAGTTTCATATTTAATGTTAGCGCACACTGTTATAAAAATCAGACTTGTTAAAAAGAGTTTGTAGTTTGTTAATTTTATTTTGTAAAATTTTAACGTAAAAATACAGAGTTTGTAATTATTTTAACAAAGGAAAATATTTTACCGAAAGTTTTGAAACGTAATATGCAATTTTGTAAGCATTTTGTTAATTTCAAAGGTTACAGATTATTTTTTTAATGTTTAACAAATTATTTCGTCGAAAAACTACACATGATATCAGGCAGTCAATCAAAACATTTCCCACTGACAATACGTATCAACAAATTCAACTGACTTCAGCGTCTGCAACTTATGTTTCTGCCTACTTTATTCTAATTCGTAACGTGGTCGCTACAACTGGGCAGAAAAGATGCCATTATTGGGTTTCAAACTGAAATTAGGAGATACAGTGAAGAGGGTTAAAGTTACGAAATACATCATTAAGTGTTGTAGTAGTACTGATAATTATATTGTACCAAATTGTGTGTATGTTATTATTCTGTTCATTTATGAAGGTATGTGTTAATTTTGTTGTTTAGAAAATTGATTAATAAAGGAACATTTCTTATCAAAATTTGTTTCATTAAAATTCCCAATTTCCATCAAATACTTTTGTTTTTGGGTACAATAAGGTCCTTTTTGAAAATTACAAGAATTAGGGTTTAATTATTGATATATCATATATGGGATTTTGTTATTAAATCTACAAAATGTTTGTTATTATTGGGTGAATATATTGAGATGACCCTCAAGTGAAAATGATTATTTTTTATTTTTGGTTATTTCACTGTTAGTCTAGAATGGGGTTTTTGGGAAGCCACCAGGTCTAGTAATAACATAACATACGTGCTTCTGCACTAATGCAAGAATTTTAAGAAATCATACATTTTGAATATTAGAGCTTCACGGAGGTTAGGATTTCGTATGTTTTTTGTATATTTGAAATAAGTTATTGTATCTTTTGACACCTTAATATTTTTTTAAAATACAATTGTACGTACATAAAATATTTATAAAAAAATATACTTACTGAGATATTACACTTCACGGTGGATAGGTTTTTAAATAGCAAATTAATGAACTTAAACTTTTGAATTATAAAACAGCAACACTCTCATCTACATATTAATTCTAACTAACCTTCAGGAATCACATGCATCTATAATGTAAACAGAGGTTTTTGCTTATTTAAAATGATTAAAGCGCCATCCGTTGCATAAAATTTAAAGCAAAAACAGATTCAAGGAGGATAGAATCAATTTTTGTAACACCTACATAAATGGTTATAAAAATAATTTCTTTTAATTTTTAATAATATTTTATATTTGATTCGATTGCTTTGGATGTGTTTAATTTACTTAGTGAACTGATATTTTTAGTATGATTTTACTACCTCAGATATTTTAAAATATGTATGTTAACATAGAAAGAGTAACAGTCACGGAGGATAGGTTTTAGACTTTTATTAAAACATTGTAAAAAAATAATTAATTGCGGTTAAAAATCTGGAACCTGAGCTGTAATATCTACTTAATTATGAAAGATCAAAACACAATAAAAGTGTAGGTCAAACTCATTTAGTTTTATTAAATATCACGGGGTAACACCATCGGGGGATATTTCGTGAGATTCACCCAATTACAAACTACTTATTCAATTAGTTAATAGATTACAGTTGGTTGTAAACTTAACATAAAGTTATGTGGACCTGGATTAACCTAAAATCTGAGTAATACACTCACAGGCAAAATAATCGATCCACACAAATTTTCGATGAATTTCAATCGCAAATAACTTTCTTATTTGATTTCGGATTTAAACGAATATTGTAGATAAATTAATGGAGAATCGCTCACATTTTAAAAAATTACTAAAAAATATACGTACGTTTATAATATACAGGTTTAAACAAAAAGATGTTTTTTACCATAAGTTTAAGACACTCTGTAGAGTGGCAAAACCGTACATTGTTCTAAATTAAGTTTTATTTATCAAGTCACATCTATTCTTAACAGTTTTGTTTTTGGTTCACATCAATATATTTATTTTTGTGGAAAATATGGATTTTTTTAAAAAACATTGAAATTTCCAATATTTTTTCTGTATGAAGAACTAAAGTTGCTATGGTCCATCCATAGAATGACAGTTACAGTTTTGTTGAATCATCCCATATTTGAAGATGTCATACACGGCTTTCAAAAGCTATCAAATTGTTTTTTGCAAATGAATGTTTAAATTTTAAGGTGTCTTCTTACTTAAAAAAATGGATATGTCTCCGACTGATGTTGCCAGAGCTATTAATTTAATCCAGGATGGACGGTCACAGTATTACGTGGCAAGTGTTTTAAACGTCATAAGAAGTAAAGTACAAAGGGCAGCATCAGTCGGAGACATTTTTAAAAGTAAGAAGACACCTCAAAATTAACACATTAATTTACAAAAAACAATTTTATAGCTTTTGAAAGCTGTATATGACATGTCCAAGTATGGGATGATTCAACAAAACTGTCACTGTCATTCTCCATAGGCTATGGATGGACCTTAGCAACTTTAGTTCTTCATACAGGAAAAATATTGGAAATTGCAATGTTTTTTTTTTAAATCCATATTTTCTACAAAAATAAATATATCAAGGTGTACCAAAATCAAAACTGTTAAAAATAGATGTGACTTGATAATTAAAACTTAATTTAGAAGAATATACGGTTTTGCCACTCTACAAAATGTGAGCGATTCTCCATTAATTTATCTACAATATTCTTTAATATTCGTTTAAATCCGAAATCAAATAATAAAGTTATTTGCGATTGAAATTCATCGAAAATTTGTGTGGATCGGTTATTTTGCCTGTGAGTTTATTTGGTTAAAATTAACAAATATTTTTTTTCTGTGCACAGTGACAAAAAAATGCCAAAATAAAGTGTACGCTAGTAAACCGATAGAATCGCGAGTGCTTAGTGATGTTCGAGGTTTCGAGCGTGGGCAGCAGCAAGTTGGACGCGGCCGAAGCGCTGCGCATCCGGCACTCGACCGCGGTGCGTTCGCAGTACAGCGTCAAAAACCAAATGATGCGCCTGCTGCGCAGATCGAAGAGCGCCGCGCAGCCGCCCGCCGACAAAATCCAGCAGAATCGGCACAGCCACAACGGCGGCCATCACTACCATCACAACCACGTGGTGCACCCGCAGCACACGCAGGCGCAGCAGTCCAGGAACGGCGGGATGGTTGTGAACATGGTCGAGGGGTTGCCGTTTATTGTGGGCGGAAAAAGTAAAAAGGTAAAAATTATGAAAAAAGGGGAATATAAAGCTATGCACTGAAAAAACGGATTTGTAAATTTACTTAAAACTTACTGCTTTTTAGGTGACCATTAAATTTAAAGTAAATTTACAATATTTATGTAATATGATATATGTTACATATTTTTTGTAAAATTCAGATACAAACATTTTGTAAAATTACTAAAGTTGTAAAATTACTAAAGTTGTGTAATAGGTATTTACTAAAATTTTGTAAAATTACCATAGCAAGGTGATATTACATATTAAAAATACTTGCCCTGAACGGTTTCTTTTGTAATATTGCTTTAAATTAGTAATATTTGCTGAAATTTTTTAGTAATTTTGCTTATTAAAAATACTTATCTTAAGTAATAACAATTTGTAATATTACTTCAGGTAAGTATTATTTCCTAGTATTTTTATTAAAATACTGATGTAAAATTAATAACTTTTCTTAGCATTTTTACTGGTTTTGGGATAAGTTTAGCAATAAATAAAAAATTGATATTGCTTAAAATAACATTTAATAAACCTAAAAAACATATTTTTTTCCTTATAAGAATGTTTTAAACAAATCAAAAATATGGACAAATGCGTGAGAATAATTTAAAAAATTGTACCCATAAAATGCTAGATTATACAAATGGCGTCTTCACTAAATTATTTTAATAAACAACAGGACCACAGACCTATCACAACAAATTTTGTCTGTAAACAGGAGACACTTGCTAAACACTTTTATTTTAAGAAGTCTTATAAACTTTTGTGTTCACCTAAACAACAGCACCTGCAAAATGCAAACGATATTTCAATTATCAATTTAAACAACACTTACCTACACGTCGTACACTGGACTACCAAGCGTTAAGGGACGCCGCATCACATGATCTATACTAGGCAGTGATTGGTCAAAAGATCACTGAGATTTTGTAATTTCGCAAAAGATTTGTAAATATACTTTTCTATTGTATTATCACACATTTTTAGTAAAATTGTGCTGTAAATTAAAAAAAATATATTTTTTTTACTTACCTGAAGTACTTTTACATTTTAATTTAATTTGACGGAAAACTTGAAATTTACTTTGGAAAGTTACAAAAAAAACTATTTTTACCCTAAAGCCATTGGCATTTTAATTTTATTTAGTAAAAACACTTTAAAACTAAATTTACTTTAAAAATATTGTTAATTTACCATATGTTTCATGTAATACTATTGTAAATTTACAATAAATTTTTTTAGTGTGACTAGAGATATAAAAATATGGTTTTTTCAGAAAGAAAAAAAAACATGTTTTCTATTTACTTTTTTTAAACCGCTGCAATAATGATAATAGTAGTAATAAACTATATTCTGTTAATAATAAACATTGATATCTACTCCAAACTTGTACTATGCTCCACACCTCAAAGTCCCACCACGTGACTACGTACGGAACGCATTTAAAGCTTTTCAGGTCATGTATCTGTCAAAGTATAGTCAACGAAAGAAATAATATTATGTTTAGGCGTTAAAAATGTATAAATCTTTATAACATTACAATAACAATGGATGGTTTAAGAATTTAAGAATATAAATACTGCATTTAATGAAATTCAAAAGTGTATGGTGCCGAATAAGTGATATTTTTGTGAATTTGGTCCAAATATCTGGTTTTCTCCATAAAATAATTTTAACTAAACAGCATTTATTAAAAAAAATCTAGCTTCTCTATTATGGAATAAGAATATCTGTTTTAAAGGTAGGTTAATATATTATAACAAAAATATCATCTAATTTTGTAATTTTAAGGTTAGAAAAATTTATTTTGACCAAAATAAATAGTATTTTGGATTATTTAAAAGACTGTATAATATGGTATTTAAAAATGTTGTAGTTTTTCTTATCCAGCTTAAAGTGTACCTACATACAGTTTTGTCAATACAAATAGTTAAAAAGCTTTGACTGAACTTGATCTACATCGAAAAATCATTATAACTTTAAAAATTTTAATAAATCACATCTCATGGGAGTATTAAATATTTTCACATTGCAAGATTCTCTAAAAATTGTTTGTTTTCTTATAATCTAACTTAAAGTAGGTATGCCGAGAGGTATGCACAAGTTTTGTCATTAGAAGTATAAAAGCTTCAATTTAATTTGAACCATATTCAACAATTATTTAGTATACCTATAATTATTTATGACCATATTAACTCTTCCAAATAATCCACTTATTTATTTTGGTCAAAATAGATTTTTTCTAACCTTAAAATACAAAATTAGATGATATTTTTTGTTCTTATACATTAACCTACCTTTTATACAGATATTCATATTTCATAATAGAGAAGTTAAATTTTTTTTAATAAATGCTGTTTAGTTAAAACTATTTTATGGAGAAATGTAGACCCAATGCACAAAAATATCACTTATATTGCACCTTACACTTTGGAATTTCATTAAATGCAGTATTTATATTCCTAAAATCTTAAACCAACCATTGTTATTGTGATACTATAAAGATTTATTAACTTTTAAAGCTTAAACATAAGCGGTAACACCATAAATATTATTTCTTTCATTGACTATACTTTGACAGATACATAACCTGAAAAGCCTTAAATGCCAAATTTTCAAAAGACTTCGTTCCGTACGTGGTCACGTGGTGGGACTTTGAGGTGTGGAGCATAGTACACGTATGTAAATAATTATTAAATGCAAATTTGAGCTCTTAAAAACAATTTAAAGACGTAAAAAAATGTTTTATTAATGAAGCGTGTATATAAATCTGGATTTTTTTTCGTTTGATTCAATAAAACTTAACTCCATATTAAATTATCCTATTGCTTCAAAGTTTGATTTTCTATGCAATTGATGGATTTTTACTGTTAACTTGTAAACGGTTGACTCAAAAGAATTATTTACAAATACATTTTTTGTAATTAGTCATCTGTAAAATTCTTAAATCAATATTTCAAGAGTTTGATGTTTTAAGTCATCACATATTTTGGTTCAATTTTAATATTTTTTTTAATGAGGAAAAAAACATGATTAATATAAAAACTGGTATTATAAAATCATTAATCTGGACACTGATAAAAAAATAATTTTTATGTGTTTAATTCCGTATATCTCCTAAAATATTAATTTTAGAGATTTGACTTATATAACCTCTTTTGTTAAAAACTAAATTTTCTTCAAAAAATGTGTTTGCTTGTTTTTGCTAAAATTTTAAAATTTGATGACTTTTAATACTAAATATACACTGCTAAATTAAATATTTCTTCTTTGCAAAAAAGGGGCCAACTAAATAAGTTAAATAAATAAAAAAAGTTAAAAAAAATATTTGGGGAAGAAACGGTAAAAAAACCCTAAAAAGAACTTTTCATTTTTAGCTACATATGTTTACGAAGACAAAATTACTAAAATAGTAAATCATAAAAACCTTAGAATAAAATACTTAAGATAAAAATGCAAATTTTAAATTGATTGAGAATAGTACCTTCATTACCTTAAAAATACGAATAAAAAACAATTGATCATTTTTTTCGGAAAAATATTGGTAAAATTTCAAAAACATATTGAAACATATAGTAGGAAAACAATCGTTATCTACTCCTATTGTATAATATTGGGTTTTTGCGTAATAATATAAACTCCCTTCATAACAACGGGAATAATAAACTCATTATTTACCTTGTTAGGCATCAGTGATTGAACTATTTTAATATTCACTGTGATTTGAACCAATCTGGTTTAATAATTGGGAGAAGGCGACTATAATATTTAAAATTTGTAAAAAGTGAGGTTAACCATTTGACAGATGTCAGATTTAATTTATTTATTTTTGAAAATCAGACCATATCTTTCCAAAGGTTTATGATGCGCTTCTTTTCTAGAAATACTAACCCAAAAGTAAAAAAACGGGGTTTGTTACATCACAAAATATTTTTGTACAGAAATCGTTCTTTAAAAAAAAACAAATAATGAGATTTGGCAATATCCCGGCGCATCCGCCAAAATTGCAAATTTAAGAAACAATTTATTTTTTATAAAACAATATAGCTTAACCAGAAAATTGATAAACCTAAATTTAGAAAGTTGCGTCTATTCAATTAACATATTTTGAATACCATAATAACAACTCTGCAGTATAAGCGATTGGAATCAGTCAGCGGGTTTTTACGTTAAACGGTATTTTTAGACGCCTAACGCAATTTCAATTTAATTAAAAATAGTGGGTTTCTACAAAATTCGTTGTATTTTTAATTAAATATTTCATTTTTTTTTTGAATCGTTGGTCTCACAAAGAAATAAATTTTATTAAATGTTATTTTATATTTCATAAATGTAACTGCGTTTAGGGATGAAGTTTAAATTTGATAAAATTCAATTCGGGTGACAGTTGACAAATGTCAAATTTTTAACAAAATAAATTGGCTTTAAATTATGTTTTGTGTTCGTCGTAGATAGTATAGTATGCAACTCGTTTATTATAAGGGTTCCCTCTCACCTGGAAATCCTTGAAAACCTGGAATAGTCAGGGAATCCGTTTAAGTCCAATAAAATCAGGGAAAAGTCAGGGAATTTTGAAAGTCAGCGCAAAAGTCAGGGAATTTGTTAATATTATGGTAAAAGTCAGGGAAATTTATAAAACGGCTTGTTTTCTGACCCTTTTTCGTTGAAAGTCGCCGTATTGGCAACACTGGTATCGTAAACAATTGTTTTCGTACGGCGCCGCCGTAACGGCGGTAATTATGAAGGATTTTACACAAAAAAATTTTACACACTAAAAATTCGCATAGCAATGCACCTGATAAACAAACTAACAATTAACAATAATTAAAACAATTGTCATAATTAATTTTAAATTGTTAAAGTTTGTTGTGCATTGCTTTGATGAATATGGTATATTTGTATAAATGTATACCAAAGAATGTTTTTTATGTTTGTACCAAACAATCTATTTTATGTTAAACTT